GAGAGTTTTATGAGATTTATAGTAGTGTCATGCAGTAGCTTTGGTTGCTCGATTATGTTTTATTAGGTTTATAGGTTTGTTCTGATTTTGCATCTCCAAATGCTTGCTGAAAATCCACAACATCTTTTTTGTATATATTAAATGACTGGATTAAAGGTCCTTTCAGGCCAAGAACGATAACTATAACGATAACCAATAACGTTCTGTTTACTATATCACGCACCACTATCTCTATAAAAGCATGCACTCTTTAAAATCACATGGATTCTGATTGGCTGTCAATGTTTTATGCTTCATCAGCTGGAAACAATTTTTTGTGAAATGATATATAATTCCTCTGTGCCATTATCGTAGTTGTGGTATGGACTTTGCTATTCTTTAACACGTAACAACTATTTTAAAACTAAATATCGTTATAGTTATCGCCCTTGGTGTGAATGGTCCTTAAACACTTAATTTTTGAAATGAATTTGCATTAATTTACTGCTAATATGACCAATTATCCCACATGGAAAAATACTATAGTAATTTGTAGTAAATACTAGTGTTTTTGAACCATACTATAGTAAAGTGTATTATACTGTATAGTATTTACAACACTTTGTTAATGAATACTACAGCATACTGTATAGTGAACTGATAAACTAATAAATACTGTAGTATACTTTAGTTTTTAATACGGTAAACTGTTGTGTATTGTAGTATAATATACCCTATAGTTGTAGAAAGCTTAGGTCAGTATTGGGTGAAGTAATTTGTTTTTATTACTATAGTTGTTATATTACCACAGCAACTATAGAATTACCACAACAAATTAATTCAAGTACTTTACTATAGAATGGTTCAAAAACACTATAGTATTCCTATAGTATTTTTTCATGTGGGATATGTCTTTTGTGCTTTCTGTGTTTCTTAAATTGCCATGGGTACAATTTTGCATTCAAGGTGATTTCTGAGCGCATATTTCAGATCCAGTCGCTCTGTTCACAGAAGTGGTTCACAATATTTCGACGTCAGACACTTGAATTTCCTGGTCACTCTCATGATCGCATTTATGCTGTAACCTTAATGCTTGTCTGCTCTTGAGTACGATGTTTTTTCATAGCTCTTCACTTGAACCTGGACATGTGTTTTCATGGCTACCCCATCCGTGTGGATTCTCAGTTCAGCTATTGATTTGATTATGAATCGTGCAATAGAGAACTTTTGAGCTATTTAAACCACGTGACACTAGGCTCCCTCAGTGCAGTATATGACACTGCGTCAAGATTGTGTCTCAGATATGGTGACAGCCAGTTAACAGGTTCTTTTTTAATATGATGCGTAGTAATAATTTATGTTGACAAACGGCTGCAATAAATGTGTAGAATCGACAATGAAGGCACATTCGGTCCAATTGTAGTGGATCTTGATAGCCATGCTAAGCATAATAGGCCTATATGAAGAGAATAAAAACAAGTGTCTTTAATACAGACGCAGCTCAGTTTAGATGAAAAGACACATTTTTGTACCATATTAAATGAATCGTTCTCAGATGATAAGAGTTCATAATGGGTGACTGCTAGCTGACTACGCAAACCCTGTGTTATATTATGTCGCCATCTTCTGGCAAGACAAAAAACAAAGTGGGTTGCCTTCAGCCCGCTGCCTCTTGCTGGACGTGTGTGTGTGTGTGTGTGTGTGTGTGTGTGTTTTACCTATCAAAGGGAGAAAAAAATGTTTATACAACAATTTATTAAAATTAAGTTTAAAATTCGTACACGTCTGTGAAACTTATAAAATTAGCATTAATTAAAATAACATCGTTAAATATGTTTGACAACTCTTAATTTTATTTTGATTAATAAATCAGGAACACATTATTAAATTAGATAATATTTAAGATAGGCTATTATTAGTTCGTGTAAATAAGCAGTATGAAAATGTAAGCCTATTTAACATATAATAAAAGTTCTTATATTTAATCTAGAAGTTTAATTGTCTGCTAATTACTATACTATGTTGAGCATCATCATGTAGTAATGATCCATAATGTTATTATAAGTCTTACCAGATGTTTTATATGCTTTTTCATTCATTGGTCTCTTCAAATATTTATTGGTTTCTGCTTAAACAGGTAAAGTGGGACATTGTTATTCATCTAATCGGTTTAATCATCATTATGTGGATTTTTCCATCACTCAAATCAGCATCATCCTAAAATAGAAGGAAGATATAAAAGAGATCCTTTGGTTTTGACATCATTCAGGGAGGCGAGTCATATTACAGATCTATAACAGTATCATATTTGAACAGCAGGGGTGGGAAACACTATGGTAAGTCAAATTATAAAACCTATTGAGGCAAAACATAATTTAAACCCCTTAGCCGTCACTCACATTTTTGAACATAGACGTGAAAGTGCACGATCCAAACTTAAATTTTTATAATTCATGAACGAAAACATTTTGTAACATGATATTGATGTACCATTTTCATGGTAATGCAATGTTTGATTTTAAAATGGGTTTCAAAGGATGAATTTTGAGATTTGAAGTTTTCAATTGATATATAATTTCTGATGATTTCTAAAGTGTGATAGAGAAAAAGGCAACAAAGAAGACTTTTTGTGACAAAGGTCAGAACTCCTGTTATGATGTAGATTTTTGAGGTGCACTCTTGTCAAAAATTAATCTATTTTCCTACATAATTTAACAAAAACATTGGTAAAATATCTATTTAGGAGTCTTAGACCTTTCCAACGATATATAGTTTGTCATGATTAGATTAGGATGTAATTGTAATATAGTGAAGTAAACATACACTGTAAAAAATAAGTGTAATTTTAACTGTAAAATTTTGTAAAAACGCTACGCAAAAAAACTGTTAATAGGTTAACAGTAAGTTCCCGTACTATATACAGGGAAAAACTGTAAAATATCTAACCAGACATTTCATGTAATTTTACAGTAAAATGCTGTTAATTTGACAGTTTTTAGAAGTAAAAATAACAAATCAATGTATAATTTACAGTCAAAAACTGTAAACTGATATTCCCAGAATTCCCTGCGTGGCACTCCACATTTGAAAGTATTTAGTTTAAATAATCATGTTTTTTAATAGTTTTTGTTATTAGTTATGTATATTTGGGCTTTATGTTACATCTTCTGTTGTTTAATGAAAGTTTAATGCATTATTTAAGTATCATGTGTGTTACCATGATGGTGTTTTGTGTTTGCATGAATGACTGTGCACCTTCTATATATCAATATATACTTCTGCTTGTGGCGAAGCTACTTGTGATGAGGTTTGATTCTTCATGTGGCTTTCTCTTTTACCACCTGCATTATTATGGTGGTTGTCAGTATGTTAAAGGTACAAAACAGATTTTAATAGGAGTGTGCATTGTTGAATTTACTGGTTTACATTCAAATGTTCTTGTTTGTAAATTACAGTTTTGTACTGTAAAATGTACAGTTTTTGGCCGTAAATGTGTTTACAGTTTTTCTGTATTTTTTACAAAATTATTCCGGCAACCACAGCTGCCAAAATTATTTTGTAAAAACTACAGAATTTTTTTTAAAGTGTAGGCATCCCACAGAGGGGACGGGTGACAGTTTAGAGGTTAAATATCAAAGTTTACAAACAGTAAAATATAATGAGAATGATAGAATCACGGTATCAGTAAGGAAGTTCAAACAGTGCAATTTGAAAATGTACATCTAATAACTTATTTAGTAAAATCAGTGATCTACGTGTTCGGGGAAGTATTTTAAGTTATTTTTAATATTTCTTCCTGTTTGCGTGTTGCCGTTGCTGTTACATTGTGTCATATCTACGAGGCTAAACCATTTGGAACAACTTATTAGAAAGTATCCCACTTTAACTGTTTTCATTCAGTGAATACTACAGTAAAACCATAATAAATTAATATGACATCTGATTTAAACTGCGTGAGCAGAATCTTTCATTTTGTTTAAATTTAATGACAGGTTTATTGTAATAACAATATTTCGGCGGAAACTGTGCTTTACCATGGTGAATTTTTGTAAAGATTTTATTAAAACCAACCTGGTTAGGGTTAAAAAAAGTCTCAAAACATATTTATATAAACAGTAAATATATAAACAATAAAGCATTAGATAGTTAGTAAGCTGTTTGTTTGTTTTATTAACAAACTGTAAGAATTAACTGTACGTTTAACAAAATATATTCTTAAAAACAGCTGTTTTCGTTTGGTAATATCGATGTTCAGCGTTTCATTATTCCAATATGTAACGGTTAGTGATTTGTCCTCACTGTCCTTCCGTCACTGTGTATTATTACACATATTGTTTACAGTCCTAGTCACACATTTCAGTGATATTTCTTTCTTTTCAATGTTCATGCAGTATGTGCCAAACAGTAGCTAAATGCTGCCCCCATTTGGATGCTGTGTGTCATCTTTCATTTTCCAGAAAAGTGAGATGAGCAGAAATAATCACTGTGACAAGGTGATTGCATTTGTAATTTTAGAGTAATCTTTAATAAAGTCTAGATAGCGTGGAGTATTTTTTGACTTGGATTCAGAAATTGGGCATCACAACAATGTATCTGCTTGTTCATAATTGTTTAATTATATGGTTCTTTAAAACATATTAGTTGTTCCAACTCAAATAAAAATTACCCACAGTATGTTTTCAAAAAACTTTATTTATGGTTTCATCAAATTATGTACATATTGGGTCATATACAGTATGAGGTGGAAAACAACTATTGGGAATTACAGTAACAGAAACAGTCATTTCATATTTTTCCCCCACTGAATTCAGAAAGATTACAGGATTTCACAGGTGCAAAAGCACTATTTTATAGTACAATGCCATTTGTTCCAGTAGTAATCCAATCTAAATATAAATAATACAAAATACTCAGTTTTGAAGCATAAAATCCTGGTTTGTAATGTCATTTTATTCCCTTATGTACAAACACATTCTTGTAAAACAAACCTTTTTGCCTTTTTGTCTGTGATGTTCATTTTGTGGGTGACTTTTGTCTCAAAAATTGTTTGACCAATAAATGTAAAACTTTATTGAAGCTGAAGGTTTATATATATATAGAGAGAGGGTTTCACAGCATGTGTGAGTGGAGTTCTCAGCATCATCAGAGCTCGTCGTGGCGCACTGGATCACTGCTGGGCTGAATAAAAACCCCCTCCATCACCTTCCAGTAGTTATGCTGATTGGATGAAGGCATTCCATGGACCTCACGCTGGCCTCTGATTGGTTGACCGTACTGCTCTCCGGTTACACTGAGGAAAACCTCAGTGGCGTCATGTTTGAATCGCACCACGTCATCACGTTCCCAGTACGTTGCACTGCACTGCACGCTCCATACGTCTAAATAATCTCCTTCTCCGTTTTCGCCAAACGCACTCACTTCCTACAAACATAAAACAAATCAGCACGATGATATAATTCAAATCCAGCCAGTTACAGTCACCTGAACATGTAGGTTAAGATAGAAGAGTGTTGTGTGGATCTACTTGGTGGTTAGACAGTGGGGAGCTAAAGTGATGTGAGTGTAGGTTGCGTCCGGTCTTCATGTGTGTAATTCGGATGGCCTGTCCGCATCGAATAGGCTCCCCGCGCTGACAAACTTTGTCTGGTTTCCCACGGATACGCCAGTAGCTGTTGGTTCATTTTCCAGAAAAGTGAGATGAGCATAAATAATCACTGTGACAAGGTGATTGCATTTGTAATTTTAGAGTAATCTTTAATAAAGTCTAGATAGCGTGGAGTATTTATTGACTTGGATTCAGAAATTGGGCATCACAACAATGTATCTGCTTGTTCATAATTGTTTAATTATATGGTTCTTTAAAACATATTAGTTGTTCCAACTCAAATAAAAATTACCCACAGTATGTTTTCAAAAAACTTTATTTATGGTTTCATCAAATTATGTACATATTGGGTCATATACAGTATGAGGTGGAAAACAACTATTGGGAATTACAGTAACAGAAACAGTCATTTCATATTTTTCCCCCACTGAATTCAGAAAGATTACAGGATTTCACAGGTGCAAAAGCACTATTTTATAGTACAATGCCATTTGTTCCAGTAGTAATCCAATCTAAATATAAATAATACAAAATACTCAGTTTTGAAGCATAAAATCCTGGTTTGTAATGTCATTTTATTCCCTTATGTACAAACACATTCTTGTAAAACAAACCTTTTTGCCTTTTTGTCTGTGATGTTCATTTTGTGGGTGACTTTTGTCTCAAAAATTGTTTGACCAATAAATGTAAAACTTTATTGAAGCTGAAGGTTTATATATATATATATAGAGAGGGTTTCACAGCATGTGTGAGTGGAGTTCTCAGCATCATCAGAGCTCGTCGTGGCGCACTGGATCACTGCTGGGCTGAATAAAAACCCCCTCCATCACCTTCCAGTAGTTATGCTGATTGGATGAAGGCATTCCATGGACCTCACGCTGGCCTCTGATTGGTTGACCGTACTGCTCTCCGGTTACACTGAGGAAAACCTCAGTGGCGTCATGTTTGAATCGCACCACGTCATCACGTTCCCAGTACGTTGCACTGCACTGCACGCTCCATACGTCTAAATAATCTCCTTCTCCGTTTTCGCCAAACGCACTCACTTCCTACAAACATAAAACAAATCAGCACGATGATATAATTCAAATCCAGCCAGTTACAGTCACCTGAACATGTAGGTTAAGATAGAAGAGTGTTGTGTGGATCTACTTGGTGGTTAGACAGTGGGGAGCTAAAGTGATGTGAGTGTAGGTTGCGTCCGGTCTTCATGTGTGTAATTCGGATGGCCTGTCCGCATCGAATAGGCTCCCCGCGCTGACAAACTTTGTCTGGTTTCCCACGGATACGCCAGTAGCTGTTGGCATCATCGGCCAAATCCACGCCTGTTACTGATTGCTGGCCACTTCCTGCAGGGTATCGTGTAAACAATGTTTAATTTGAGCATACATGTAGATCATCTTCAACCTCATATTCATTTACTACTGTATTTAGATAGTACTCCAAAGTACTCAAAGAATATTACAATACCTTAACATCCCATAGTACATTTTATAAAAAAAAAAATCTAAATATTTAGAAATATTTGTAATGATTTAATATTATCATAATTAGTTATAGTTATATTAATGGCATCATATCAAAAATCAATTACACAAACATTTTCCCTAAAGAACTGCTAAAATATCTGGATCCAATGTGTGAAATATCCATTTTAGTTATTATTATTAATTATTTCTAATGTTGTTTATTATTCATGGTGTTCTGGGTATTATTTAGTTTCATATTAAGTTATTTTGGTCAGTTTCTGTATAGACACATACAGATAATTATACAAATATTTTAGCTAAGCAACACCTAAAAAAAATCTGGATAACCAAGTTAAATATCACTCATCATTATGACATTATTATTATGAGTAGTAATTTCTTTTATTTATTTTTTTTTATTCAGACTGGAATTATTTTCTTTAGTTTTTGTGTAGACATACAGATAATTGTACAAACATTTTTTACCTAAAGAACTGCTAAAATGTCTGGTTACACTGAGTTAAATATAATTTTATTATTATTATTATTATTATTATTATTAAAAATAACCACAA